CCCTCTGCCGCCGAATCATGGTTGGTAAAAGGGGGTAATGCTGACTCCCCGCCACACAAACCTGCTGTGAGGATTGGCTAGCAAATGTCTGTAAGTGCTTTGGAGATTAAAAGCACTGAGTATTGTTATTATGGTTATAATTCTCCAAGGCCGTGCGGCATCTGTGCACGCTAAGATTTCAAACTCTTCAGACTCAAACTCATGATCCTGTGAGGTGCCGAGCACCTTCAGCTTCCATTAAAGGCAACAGTTTGGCACAATTTTGACTGCAGATAAATCACTTTATAAAAGAGAAAAAGGGCACATATGACAAGCCCGAAGAATGAATACTTGCAGCCAGATCTTTAAAGGACCTTAGTAGTCAACCCTTTAATATGTGCGGGTGTATCCCACTGTATCTGCAAAATCTTGCACTTGTATGTGCAAACTGAATAGTCAGTATTCGGGTGCACAAACACACAGTGTGCTCATGCAACGATTTTTCCATGCATACAGAAAGTTTCCAATGTGGGTTAAGAGGATGACAAAAAATATGACCCTCTGAAATTAATCTAGCCAAGCCCTAGAGGCAGCTGCTATTCCACATACAGGTAGCTGATGTTCACTCACATACAGCTGAAGTTAAGTTTACTTCTATGAACCAGAGGGGCAGTTTGAATTCAAACATTTCCCCGACAAGTTGTAATGCTGAAATATAGTCCTTGTGTGTCCCAGTTGTCTTGGCATTAAAACTGAGAAATGCAAAAAATGAGATCTGTAGCCAACAATCACAAGTGAGATAGAATTCATCCAAAACAGAGAATTGGCAAGACGCTCTGCACTGTATTAGAAGCTATGAAAGGAATTTAGCCTAGCTATTAATGGAGCATAATATCTACCAAAATGCTATAGTTGTTTTAAAATGCCTCCTATTTTTCCACATACTTAATATCAAAGCTTTCATACCACAGACTGCTTATACATTATAATTTTTTGTTAAAAAGACAGTTCATTAAGCTGTTCTTATGAATCTGTCCATACAATTTTATGAGTTTGTTTTGTTTGGCTTTCAGAATAATATGGCATCACACACAGAACTAGAAAATCCTGTCACTGAAGAGGAGATAGCCGAAATGGTTCAGAAACCACCTCAAGATATAAAAATCCCCAGGATACGTCATGCATTTGGGATATATATTTTATGAATGTGATGTGTCTAAAATGTTGCCTGTGACCATGTGGATTGCTTTTTAAGAAGTGACTGAAAATCTCCAGGTAACTGTTCAGCCGGCCACACGGCTATATGAGGGTCTGGTAATAATTAATATCTAGGGCCAAATGTTGCAGTTCTTCATTACTCATTCAAGACAACTCACCCTGAAGTCAGTACGGACTATGATTTCAGGATTAGATCTTGAACCTTCACCAAGTGATTCCAATCAGAGCAGAATGAAAGAATTGTCTTGGTCGATGTGATGATTCAGATATAGAATCATAGAATATTAGGGTTGGAAGAGACCTCAGGAGGTCATCTAGTCCAATCCCCTGCTCAAAGCAGGAACAACACCAACTAAATCATCCCAGCCAAGGCTTTGTCAAGCTGGGCCTTAAAAACTTCTAAGGATGGAGATTCCACCACCTCCCTAGGTAACCCATTCCAGTGCTTCACCACCCTCCTAGTGAAGTAGTGTTTCCTAATATCCAACCTAGACCTTGAGACAATTGCTTCTTGTTCTGTCATATGCCACCACTGAAAACAGCCTAGGTCCATCCTCTTTGGAACCCCTCTTCAGGTAGTTGAAGGCTGCTGTCATATGCCACCACTGAAAACAGCCTAGGTCCATCCTCTTTGGAACCCCTCTTCAGGTAGTTGAAGGCTGCTATCAAATTCCTCTTCACTCTTCTCTTCTGCAGACTAAATAACCCATGTTTCCTCAGCCTCTCCTCGTAAGTCATGTGCCTCAGTCCCCTAATCATTTTTGTTGCCCTCCATTGGACTCTCTCCAATTTGTCCACATCCCTTCTGTAGTGGGGGTACGAAACTGGACGCAATATTCCAGGTGTGGCCTCACCAGTGCCGAATAGATGGGAATAATCACTTCCCTCGATCTGCTGGCAATGCTCCTACTAATACAGCACAATATGCCGTTGGCCTTCTTGGCAACAAGGGCACACTGCTGACTCATATCCAGCTTCTCGTCTACTGTAATCCACAGGTCCTTTTCTGCAGAACTGCTGCTTAGCCAGTCAGTCCCCAGCCTGTATTGGTACATGGGATTCTTCCTTCCTAAGTGCAGGACTCTGCACTTGTCCTTGTTGAACCTCATCAGATTTCTTTTGGCCCAATCCTCCAATTTGTCTAGGTCACTCTGGACCCTATCCCTATCCTCCAGCGTATCTACCTCTTCCCCCACCTTAGTGTCATCTGTGAACTTGCTGAGGATGCAATTAATCCCATCATCCAGATCACTGATAAAGATGTTGAACAAAACCGGCCCCAGGACCGACATCTGGGGCACTCCGCTTGATACCGGCTGCCAACTAGACATCGAGCCATTGATCACTACCCATTGAGTCTGACAATCTAGCTAGCTTTCTATTCACCTTGTAGTCCATTCATCCAATCCATACTTTTTTAACTTGCTGGCAAGAATACTGTGGGAGACCATATCAAAAGCTTTGCTAAAGTCAAGATATACAATATACATGACATGGGATGTGATCCAGTGCCCATTGAACACAAAATTAAGTTAGCTATTGACTTCAGAGGGTTTTGGATTAGGCCCTAAATGACTTATCAAAAGTAAGAATTTGGCCCACATCCTTGGCTGGTATATAGCATAGTTTCATGTGGTTTCAGTGGTGCTGTGGCGATTTACACCAGTTGAGGATCTGGCCCTTCATCTCCACCTCTCCCCCAGTTCTTGAAACCCCCATCTCTCTGTAGTGAACCGTACGACTGCTGAGATCACAAGTGTGGCTCCACAGTTATATCAGTTTAAATATACTACGCGCTATTTGGCTGGTTTGAATGTAAAAAACAATTGCTACTGGCAATACTGGGGTATACTTTTGCTGACTAGATATTAAAGAGGGTCTTCATGAAAAAACACAACCCCCAAAGTCTACACTGTAACCAAGATGCTAGACAATCAGCTCTGCAGATATTTTGCTTACTACAATGATAGTTATTAATAAGGTGATATATATAGAGAGAGAGAATATATATCACCTTATTAATAACTATCATTGTAGTAAGCAAAATATCTGCTGTACAGATTTATAGATATAGATATATACATATATAGAAATTGACATAAAAAAGCCTTTCTAAATGAGTCCAAATCGATTAGTTTAATGATGTTCAAACATTTAAGATGTCATATACATTATAATGGCTGCATGTAATTTCTAATATATACTTGTAGGTAAGATAGGTTTTACACTACTCAGGGTCTTTACAAAGCATCCCAATTAAAGCATCCCAATTAAAACAAACAAACAAACAAACAAACAAACAAACAACCCCAAGACACCTGATAGCTTCAAATCAACATCAAACTGGACTGTTATTGCCAATATTTCTCACAACATTCTGGCAGCATAGGGACGATAAAATCTACAACCAGTCATTTAAAAAGAATGACATTTCTAGGCTTTATCTTAGAACCACGGCAGCTGTCTGTAATGTTCTTCAAGGGACCGGGTTGTATGGGCCTAATCCAACTCCCATTAAAATCAATGGCAAGATTCCCATTGACTTCCATGGGATTTGGATCAGGCCCCTTAATGAATATTACATAGGGACAATCTTGCCACTCGTTTTGTGCAAAACTCCCATTGGCTTAGGAGTGTCACACCCCCCCCCCACACACACACATAGAATAAAGGCAGGGCGTCGTGCCTAATGGACAAATGCAAGGCAAAACTGTTCCAAGGTCAGATACCATTGGTCTAAATGTAGGAATCGTTACTCTCCAGGGTACTCACTGAGAATGTTATAAATATTCAAGTATAAGAGATGGAACTAAACAACACCTTTTCTGTATAAATTATTTTCTGGCATAAAAATTAAATAAATGCAAAAAGACTACCTTCTATCTATATGAAACCCAATGCTATATACACCATTATAATTATTGTTAGACCTTTCATACAAATATTGATGCAGAAGTAGATAAATTGTGTGGTAAATAAGTTTAGCTGGCACTAAAATTGCAGAGACAGAGATATGATCTGGTGGTCTGAATACAGAACTGGGAGCCAGGATTCCTCAGTGCCAGGCCTGGCTCTGACACAGACTCCCTTTGTAGCCTTGGGCAAGTCATATAACCTCTCAGCTTTAAGCTATCCACCTGTGAAGTTGATAATGAGGACCTGAGGATGATAATACTTACTCACATGTCTCACTGGAGTGTTGATTAATATTTAATGTTTCCAAAGATGCTATATAAGTGCTTACTATTACTATTTCATTTCAACATGACCTTTAAGGGACAGAAAATGGTGTCCAGGCCCAGCATACCTGCCCATTTTTTGCTGATCTTAATTCCACCTTCTTGTTATTAGCACCATCAGCCCTGTCCTTTGTATCTAGAATCAAACACTGGTGTTAAGCCTATTCATTTTTTTGCATCAGTTGCTTGCCACAGAAGTTCCATTTGCTAATGACCCTGTTCAGTAAATATTCTGCCTAAATTCCACCACTCAAGTGAATCGTCTTGTTTTTCACAATATTTCAAAAACAACAACAACAACAAGGAGTCCTTGTGGTCACCTTACGTAGACTAACACCTTTATTTGGGCATAAGCTTTCATGGGCTAGAACCCACTTCATCAGTTATAGCCCATGAAAGCTTATGCCCAAATAAAGGTGTTAGTCTCTGTAAGGTGACCACAAGGACTCCTTGTTTC